CGTTAAGTATTTGTTCTCACGTCTGATTTGATTTGTCCCTTCAGTCACGGTATTTGGGAAATCTCAGCTAGAAGCAGGTCACTAATGAGAACCAGAAAGTAGACCAATCTAGAAGTTTGTTTGGAATTATCGATTTCAAGTTGATTTTACTGACAGGTTGGTTCGACTTTTTTGTCAGGAGACAGGTACATTCCAGATAACAAGCAGTATATTATACATCTTCTTGACAGGAAAATATATGTAAATTGACTTTATTTATTCGTTGAAATTCTTCGCCATACCTTAACATGAAGACGATTTAGTTAGTGAATGTTGATACCAAATAATTTATGTGACCACTACGGAAAAATCTGATAAATTTTGTCTACTAAACTAATTAACTTTGAGAACAGACTACCTTATGAAAAACTATTTCATGCTCAATGCATGCACAACCAAATAAAATTTCCAAATAGACTAAATTTGTACCTTAAATAGTTTGAGAATACCAATACAACAATAATTTGATCTTTACTCTTCCGATCATTTGCGCTTGTATAAAAAGCTCAGACATTTAATTTAAAGCAGAGCTTTTAGACATAAAGGTCAAAAAATCAACGTAGAACTTTGCACAACAAAATTGAAGGACGCTAATATATGCAAAGTGAGAGAGGATCAGCAGATGAAAATTACTGATGTTTAGAATTTCGAAGAGAACAGGGAGCTTATGCATTCGTCTTATTGGAACCGACTTTTGGACATTCCATCGAAAATCTTCAATAATTGGTTGACAATTTTACATACTGTAGCTAGATAGCTATATATAGCGTTATCGGTAAGAGACTCTGTAGACTGCAAAAGCGTCTTGGTTCTATCATCCTCATCTTTCTTCCAGGTCAATCCTAACTTCATATTTTATTAACATAATTTACACCTATTTGTTACAAAAGAAAGCCAGGTAACATCAACCATGCATCTTTATCTTTTCGTCACTCGTCAGTCAACGTACGCGCAAAACAAGTGGTGTACTAATTTCTGAAATCTATCTTTTAAAACAGCTTTTTTGTACAAATTCTAAATGGACAAGCATTTCATAATGTTTTAAATAGACCTGTTTTAGCTTATATCTATGTGACTGAACGCGAATGCATACGTCATGGCTCAGCTATTCAGCAAACAATAAATTATCGTAGTTGTGGTCAGTATACATTTATTGTTTGAGACAATTTCAACCATACATCGCCTTTATTGAAAGCTTTCAACCACTCCCATCCTAAAGTGAATTTTACGAATGAATATACCAGTGGAAACAAACTAATCTTCTTAAATCCGTGCACATTACACAGAACTGCAGGTACTATTGAGAAATCAGAAAAGATACACTGACAGATGGATACATCGACTACAATAGTTTTCGTCCTGGTAATCATAAATAAGGTTCAGTCGGGATAATCTCAAATGAAGTAAAGGAATGATGCTTAAAAGATAGGATGACTAAGAAATTTTTAGGAGGAATGGATGCATTAGAATGCTGATTCTGAAGTATCGAAGAAAATCTAAAGTTTCAATCTTTGAGATAAGATATTAGGAAGAACAGAAGGACTGGTAAAATGTACATTTACATTGACTAGTCACTGGAGGGTAACCAACTTCATGCTGTCTAGTCCTATGTGCTGGTGGAACTCTACCGATCATTTTGCAATGTGGCCACCAGGTAAGGAAGCTGAGTATCATGATGCACTTTGATAGATGTTAGTCGGATTGAGGCGATCAACAGGAAACCCAGGATCTAGTTTTCATGCTTGTTGGCACTCGTTAGCAGGACGTATTTGCAACCTCAATGGAACTGATGTTCCACTTGAGATCCGAACCCTCCACCCGATTATTGTGTGGATTAGTGTTAAGCTCTAGACTGGCTACCAGTACTTTGGTAAAAACAGGAAAAATTATTTATAAATTTTAATACACTGATTTCTAAGTCGCCCAAGTTTTACTCCTGTAAAGCTTTTCCAATATTTCCTGTTTAACACCAAGTCATAGGTAAAAGGATAAGCAAAATAAGACTTCCTCAGTATGTCATTAAGTTAGAAAAAGAAGCATCACAAATTATCCTGCAAATTTAACACCAAAGTCTAAAAGTAATGTAACTCAGCAGCTGCCTGCCCTAGATAGTAAGCAAAGTGCACTTTTTCAAGGGCATTCGACAGTATCTAGCCATTCAAATCTAAGTAGATGGAGTGGAGACCAATTCCTTGACCTAGTTCATTGAAAACTGATCGCCTAGACCAGTGAAGTATTGATGCAACATTGAAATGTACATTTTAGAACTTTTGTTAGACATTGAAAATGGTATTTCCAAGGATTGTTAACTTTGTAGTGATTTTTCCTTGAACTAATAATTAGGTTTATGAGCGCAGATGAATTTATTTTCTGCTTATGTGTCCATTTTACTGATTATTTATCCACCCTGTTGTTATATGCATTATCCCGTCGCTGACTGAACCGAATCGGTCGATCTCTATTGGCTTACGGGCTCCCGTGCAAATGCCTCGAAAATGCCTTTGTTTTAATTATACATATAAATGAAGGATAGTGGCCAGTAGTGGAATCCAGAATGAGCGTTTCTTCTTTATAGGGACTCGTCAACTGAATATACTTATCTCTCAGTGGTTGATGTTGTCTCGTGCTGGGACTCGACCTCAGGACAGATCGCTTGAAACACCAGACTGTGATCCATTATATCGTCGAGCCACAACAGCCAGTTCGTGCGCGACGAATACAGTTTTCATATTGTGGCTTGATGGTCCGGTGGGTAACGCCGTGACTTTTCGAATGCTCGGTCTCGGAATCGAGGCCCAGTGGAGACAACGTCACTCACTGGATATCACTGCTGGCTACTATTCATTTTTTACATTCTTACTAGCCTATTCCGCGACAAATAGACGGAACTAAAGTAAATGTTTACATTTGCTGGTTAACAGGATACTCAAATTGTATCTTTTTTGAAAAAACTATGCATTCTGATGAGCATATTCTATAGAAGAGTATAGAAGATATGCTAATCACATCTAGAAACAAAAATGATAGAATCTTAACCAGTTTTTAGCCTTTATAAAAGACATTTACACTTATTCATAGCTGTGTTTGCGATAAAACTAGCCTAGTAGAATTTGTTTTTCTCTGCGAGTACATTGGATTCGTTGAAGGCTTTAATTAGTCTATCCAAATGATTAGCATAATTTTGATAGAGAAAAAAGTCACTGTACTTATTACTTACGCTTACATAATACTGAGATGTGTATAACGAAGAAAATATGACAAATCTACACATTTATGGGTTTTGTCTTACTCTATGTAACTGTGATTAGTTTTCGTTATTTGTTTCTTCGTACGCTTATTGATTTCGCTATTTAGGTGTTCACAGATATGTGCTGTTTTAATCATTGTTACATGTAGTAGATAATTATGCATTGTATGATACAAATATGTAAGCACGTTTATGAAGTATTATCATTTCTAACGGATTAACTGAACTAAGACTTAGTCGTTAGCTACTTATCTGAATAATATTTACAGAATTGTAATTTTTTTCCAAAGTGGATAAGACTGTTTGAATTGATCACAACACCGGTTACCTAACCAACTCTGATAGCTACGCAACTAACTGCTCAAGTGCACAGACCAACCTACTGGCTTAAAGTTTTCATAGGATATTGAATAATATATAAGAGACGAGAGACTATAAGATAACCATCTGACAACACCTCTATCTAGACTATCTTACATATCAAGACAAAGCCTCACTCATTTTAATTTATGTGAAAGTAAAAATCAACTTCTAGAACATGACAGCTGTTATCTGCAATCGACAGTGAATGCCAAGAAAAAGCAATGGTAGGATTAAATGAAATGCATGCAAAATTCAGTTCATCTGGTGATAGTAGTAATTCCCTTGATGACATATTTTACATTTATAGATTTATCTCTCTTCAATTTTCAATTCCTTATCCATACTAACAGTTTGGTTAGAGTCTGTTCAACTTCATCTCTTTTGAGTTTTTTTATGTCTAAGAAGTTGGGGATATTTCTGTCCACAAATAGTTAACATGTAGATTACAAGTAAGAAATAAAATGCAATAAGTTTATCATATCCTAAAAAACGCTTTACTTCCTGCTTTGGGTTTGAGGTCATTGATGATTACTTTCTGACCCCTGACCTATTGATTTGCAACTAATTCTTCCCTATAAGTCAAATGGTGTAAATTACTTTCTTTTCAACTCTTATTATTGTATATTTTGTATATCTAAGTAAATTATTGACTTAAGTGTAGTTTCCATTACAGATTAATATCGCTTGGAGAACCACTGAAAATCTGAGAGCACTGAACATTAATTTCATTCTAGTAAAATGATATTCAGCAGCGCACACTCACACAACCGTAAGGATTAGAGTGCCAGGTTTCCCAGCAAAATTGTTACCGTAAGCCGTTAGGATCAAATCCAATGTTCCGCTGTTTCATAATTCTATTGATCTGCAATATCACTTTTAGATGGAAACTACTTTTAGATCAACTAACCTCTAAAATCCACCAATTGAAATCTGCTAACTGCTGTCTCATCATTCCAGAATGATATTTCTTGAAATGAAGTAACTATAAACTTACCACCTGAAATATATTCATGTGTTCTTACGTAATTAGGGCTTTGAAGCGAGTTAATTCATCTTACAACGCAAATATTAGGAGATTGTACTTGTTTAGAGAACAATACTGTAAGTATTCAGATCTTTTCTAAACTAATGAACATCTAAAGGATACTGGCATTCAAGTTAATAACTAAAAACACATGAACAATTAAGCTTCTTGTTGCCATCAGTTAAGCCAATTTTATTCTACTTCATTTAACATGACAAAAGGGTTTTCCGGTTGATACTTGAGTATTCCTAAAGTATATACAATAAATAGATACTTCTAAAAGTTATACTTACAAAAATTCTGTATGATAAAATTATTGAAACTTACCGTTTAAGGTGAATAGGCATTGTTCAGCTTGTTCACGATCTCTGAAGTGAATGAAAGCATAGTCACTAATTTTTTTTACTCTTTCAACACTATTAGGATCACCACCAGCAGCTTTAATGAATGAATCTTTCAGACTATCCTCAGTAGTTGACAACATTAGATTACGTACGTATAAAATTTTCACCTAAAATTATACAGTAATATATTTAGGAACAATGAACTTTTATTGACTCTTAAAACTACTGCTTTCATGATAAGATAATGACGTAAATAATGTTAATAATTCCCTGTTGTTTTGTATCACCTAGTTATTTCAGAGGAATATTTCTTTTCAAATTTTCTGACTTAACCCATGTTCATGGAAATATGAGCTAAAACCTTTTGAAATTACTATTTTAAGAAATTTAGATAAAGTACTTCACTGTCTATGGTGTCATTAAATGTATTGTGCTATAAATACATAGCTTAAATGTCGTTGGGAAATATTAGGTGGTATCTCACGAGAAGAATCATGTAATATGCAGCAAGTCTGTAGACATTCGTAGACAGCAAATCTAAAACATTTATCTCATCACATCTATTTTCCCCTTCAACATTATATATAAGAGAAATTGTAATTATTTGTAGTTGATTTGAAGTTGTTGGACTTCACCAATTACTGAAGTTGCTTACAACTATTAAAGTATTTAAACTGCGCATTGTTATATGGTTTAAAAACTCCGTATTGTAAAGTGGCAGCTACTCAAAATAATAAATAATACTGATAAAGTTACTCACTTTTGACATTATATCTTCATTCACTTCTCTTTCTGGTTCTGCCCAGTCAACAGCTATTTGCTGACCCCATAAGTGAATGTGTCCTGGAAGCAATTTTCTCCTTGCCATCGCTGCGGCTTTATGACTCCCATACTCAATGAATGCGAATCCACGATTTTTCGTCTTATCAGTTACACTTGGATATGATATTACATCTTTGACGCCTTCTGTTACTCGTTTCATTTCCGACAGGATCTCTTCTCTTGTCTTATTCTTAGGTATTCCTCCAACAAACAGACGACAGTTATCTACACTCAGACATACTCCAATGGTTTTTCCTTTCGAATTTCGTAGTTGTTGAGTTCCTGGACTGCACGTTTCGTATCTTCCCTAGTTGTGTATACACAGAACCCAAAACCCCTATTTGTACCATTAAATTCCATCATTAATCGAAACATATAAATTGGTCCAATCTGCTCAAATACAGGAATAAGTTCATCTTCAAAGCAGTCTCTAGGAATTTTACCGATAAACACTTCACAGCCTCTTGGCGGTGCTTCACATTTCCAGTTAGGAGGAGGTCCATAACGCCTTTGACCATTCTCTTGTACATATGTATATTTTGTACGTTCAAGTAGATTAACGATTGCCTCCTCAGCGGAAAGTGCCGCAGCGTTTTGATTTCCTTGTTTCCCCAGGACATTAGCCGACGCTGACATTATAGGACTTTTCGTTGATTTGGTGAGCGTAGTTACAGTTTGTGGTGAGCTTAACTGCAAACTAGCGATGTCTTTGATCTGTAAGTTCGTCAGGCTGACAGCAGTTTGTCTAACGTCAGATACTGGCATAATGAAAATAATAACAAATCACAGTAAATGGCCAGAGAATTCACAAATTTGGTTAACTGTTTGTCTGTCTGTGTGTGCACTGTAGCCAAATCTATATGCACAACTCGATAGAAAGTTGAACTCACTATCAAGCTTCACTCAATTCTGATTGGAGACTTATGCTCAGTGTGTGACCTTGTTATCAGCTGAGTGTGTATATCGAATAAACTTACTGTGCAAATACAAATAATGTTAAGTGTTCAAAATGTTTGTTTAGTTTTGACCTGTAAAACGTCGAATATTTTAATTGACTGGAAGCTAATATGTAGAGTTAGGTGATACAGCTGATTGGCGCCACATTAAATCTAATTGATAATATAGCTATTTCATCAGTCGATTGAGCTGATAATTCAAATTTCTGAAGGTCACCTAAGGCTTGTTCACATGTCATTTCTGAGATTGCAGTCCATCAGTCAAATATGAGAATAGTAATATCGTAAATTTCTTTACATTTATTTGTCAGGTGGAATAAAACTTTTACTCTTGAGTAACCAGCTACCCTATTACACAGATATCTATAGATCAGCTAACAAACATTTTGGATGACTCGATGCATTTAACTTATCACTTTTCTATGGATCATGTGCGCGGTAACTGACAGTGTTACATGGTGAATCACTAAAACTCTGTGTGAACAGTTAGAGGGAATAAATGTTATTTTAACAATAAATTTCAATAACTACGATAACAACATAAAATTCCCTAAAGCCGGAAAATCCTGCAGGATTTTATAGCTATTGTTAAGCATTTGTCAAAAAACATTATACTTCTTAAGTTTTATGACTTCCTTATTTCATTACTTTGATTCGGTGTACGTTTATACTTGTGGAAGAACAAACATAAAATGGTCGGGCAAAACCCTTGTTGACTGAAGTGAAATAAAAATCTGGCCAGTAGTCGGACCTTGTAGCTCAGTTAGTACAGCATCGCACCGGAAACCCAGTGAATGATGGTTAGAATATGATCACTGTCCAAATTTACATTTCACCTTTTACATTTCACCCAGTATGAATAATTTAAAACTGTCATATGAGTTTGACGCCTAGAGCTCTTTAAAAAGCAAATAAGAATAGAAGGCTATATGAATTATGATTAAGATTTTAAGTAACAGGAGTATGCAAAATGGACAAAGTTAATTGGACTGAATGCGTTATTTGTTAAACCTTTACTGAAGCCAAACAGACCATTTTCAGGTTTCACTTTACTTCGTTAAGTTCATGTAGGTATACTGAACAATTGCATAGATTACAATATATATGAATATATAATAATTTTTAGTATTAGTAACAAAGACATACTACTCATGGACAGAAAATCAGTCATTTATAAGTAAAAAGCTACTCGGTAAAAGTTTGTATTGTATATTGGTGATAAGAAAACTTCCAGCGGAAATAAAAATAACGACGAAACCTTGGCTAACATGGAGTTCAACTTCGAAAGGCATAAAGAACAAACGTGAATTCCAAAGCAGAGTATAGATAAAAAATAAGGGAACTGTAACAAAATGGAAAAGAAATTTCAAAGAATAAACAGATTTACACTTGCAAACAATTTATAACACATTTGACGACTCTCTTCTTCTAAGACACTAGACACTTTATGGATTTACTTCATGCCCCAGACTGGTAGCTAGTAATATTTTAGATATTTGTCATATTTCCAATGAATTACTCTTATTTTTTCTGATTTCACATGTATTACTGTGCAGTTTAAAATCTTTTACTTGGTATTGGTCAACACTTCTGTATGAAATGAACTATCTATTATCATGTATACATCGAAATTTCCAAATAAACAGTATAATACTGTTACTCCTGATTCTGTTTTGCTTATTTTTATCCAAACAGTGGTGTTGGACGTTTTGTCCATGATACATGAGACTATGGGTGATTTATTACATCGGTTGATCACTGGAGGCTGACCAACTTTATTTTGCAATGTGGCCACCAGGTTAGGTAACTGCGCATCACGATGCACTGAGATACAAACTAATTGAATAGAGGCAATAGGTAGTAAGCCCTGAACCTTGGTTTCATTCTTGTTGGCACTCGTCAGCAAAGTGTATCTCCGACCCCTACGTAAATGATATCCCGCTTCATATTCATAACCACGTCACTGGTTGCTGCAGTTAGAGATTTTACCACTGAGCTCTTCGAGTCGCAACTGACCTCCTTCTCTCAGGCGGGTAGTCAGTTCCGTAGAGATTGCTGATACGCTGTCGTGACGGGTGCCAAAAGGTGAAAAGCCTAGGTCCGGGGCCGATCACCTCAATCCACCTTACATCTATTAGAGGTGAGTTATTATATCTGAAGTTACGAACATTGGCAAACGATTGTGAATACCCCTTAATGTATATTTGAAATACTTGGCTGAGCCTTTATTCAAATTATTTAGTTTACTAATCAGAAAGAGTATACTCTACTTATTTGTGTATTGTCTGGTAGGTTTTAGAAATAACTCGTAATTCATTTTGTAGTTACAAACTAAAGTCCGATAAGTAAAATTATCTTAAGGAATTCATTTGGCAGCACAAAGTTATGTTTATTATCAACACCGTCATTTCGAACAGGCAAAACAATCATTGTATAGGTCACTGACAGTTGGTTTGACTCGGGTAGAAGATACAAACTTTCCGATTAGAGTCTTCATTATAACTCAAATCATTGGCTGCAGAATACAGTTATTTAAGCTAATAATTACTCTCAAGGGTGTACATAAACTTATAGGTTAGACTTATTCTGACTGCAACATAAAGGTTTGTCATTGTTTTATCTCCTCTTCATCTCCTTGTATGTCCTTTGTTATTTTATTACAGATACTGGCATGAGATGTGGGAGACGAACCGTTAGACGGTAACGCCATGTCCTGTGCTCTCGTTGACCGACTAATCAATTTTCAGCTGATGAAATATACCCATTTATTCATTAACAAGAACAAAGCATGTATCAGCGAAGAAATATTTCTTTTCAACGACTTCACTCATCATCAAGCTGTACAGTCGTATTTATAGTTAGTAAAATTATAGATAATTGCACTAAAATGTTGATCAGTCAACATGAAAAATATACAATCGGTGTAGATGGTGGTATTTGTTCAAGTGGAAGAGATAGAAAATGGGTCATTGAAAAAGGAACGAATTGATAACAAGAGGTGAGATAAGCGACAAGTGCTGTAAAGCGGTGGTAATTAAGCTGAAACATGTACAATAGGTCAATGATTAAGGAATGAATTCATATTAAAAAGTGAAATATGGGTCAAATGTTGACAATGAAGTGAAAATTGGTGATAATAAGGATAATAGAAGAGAAGTTTACCAAAGTGAACTGAAATTGACAAAATCAACAAGATGAATTGTTAAGGCCAAGGTAGAGAAAGTGGTTTCACAAAATGTTTTTGAATGCCAAGTCCAGGTTTCTGTTCATGTATAGCTAATGCTTCAGCTATGCATAAGTGATGGAGACGTAAACCTTTGGAGTAGTTCAATTTAACTTTGTAAATTATCTTAAAGGATGAATCTCGAGGTGCTGAGTGACCCAATTCAACAAGGTGTTCACATATGGATGAAGTCGTCTTCCCTTGCTCACCTCTGGTAAGCCAAACTGGGTATTGTTCAGCAACACATTTTCGGAGAGCCCGCTTATAACGCCCAATATAGTCAGCTCCACAGGAGCATGTGAACTTGTAGACACACATAGATGTGAACATAAGTGGAAGCCTATCCTTCACGCATCGTCGAATCAGATGGCAGCTGGTGAATATCAATCTCAGTCTAGCAGCATTGAAGCTATTATTGATACATCTTGACAGACGATTTTTCAGCACTTCGGCTGTGGTGTCTCCTTTCAATTCTAGATTCATGGTTAAAATTTCTAAGGGACTGTAATGGGATGGGGAGTAATTCGTTTCTTCAAATTCTTATCAATAAATCTTTTAGGGTTCCGTTATTGGATAGTATTGTTCTAAGAGTTTCGATTTCAGCAATTATCTGTCACTTTACTGAGTATAAATACGACTGTACAACCTGATAATGAAGTAGTTGAGAAGAAATATTTCTATTTTAATGTGAGGGTTTAAGTGAATTGTAGTAAAATTCAGTGAATCGAGTTTTGAAGTATGATATCAGCTTCGAAGGAACTTAAGAACTCGCTGAATGAAGCAAAAGAAAATGAAGACTTGCTACTTAGAAATGTCCAGCAAATACACGATTATGGCGCACATTTTTGACCATTCCATGATTTTACACCCATTTTTTCCCCATAAATTGCTTTCCTTTATTATAGTTTTCTGAAATACTTTTTGAAATGTCTCTTTTTCAGTATGATGATATAGTGTGTAGTTCAACTTAAAGGATAAATCATTAGCTCTTTCAAAGGAGCCTGCTACAGTTAACTGACATGAAAAAATCTTAGAGACTAGCTAAACACCATGAAACTGAATACAAAATGAGGGGGATGTTAGAAAGCTCTAGCGAACGTAAAATTCCCGACCATTTGAACATAACATTTAATTCGTTGCATGCTTACTTTATTTTTTAGTTTATATATGTGAGAACAGACGGTGGTTAAGTGTATAAAGATATCTTACAAATAAAGTTGCTTAAAATAATATAAACTGAAGTTTTCGAGTTTTCCTGAGTATATCACAACATTCAAAAGCTTCAGACATCAAAATAATTCTTTGTTCATTTATCATGTGTTATCTGCAATGAAAAATGTTTCGAAAAACATTTCAAGATCTGTAGTGAATGTAAAGATATTGAACTTCAAATTATTTACTTTACATCAAGGTCACACATAGGGCATAGATTACATTAATATAGTGATTCAACATTTAGAGATTGAAATGAAAAGTAATTATTTTGGACATTCTTAGAACGTTTTGATGTTATCTTACTTTCGTTTATTTAATAGTTATTAAGGATAAACTCATTATTCATTATTCAATATACAGTTGAATAGTAA